CAGAACACAGATCAGCATGGAAGAGGCTAAGGGGGGCCTTGGTTGTGAACCCCAGCAGGCCGCACCTCCTGCAGAAGCTGGATCTTATTCTCCAAGAGCTCATAGACGTGCTCCGTCTCCTGCTGTCGCTCTTCAAATTGGCGTCGGAGCTCAGCTTCATTCTGAGTATTGAGATTCTCCACATCAGCCCTGAAACCACAGAGCATTCATCAGCCACACCCACAATTGCACAGGCCAACTGAGGTTGGTCCACTGATGAGAGAAAATGAAGTATTGAACTCAGGGCCTTGTGCTCTCCCATAGCTAGTTTACTCAAGGCTTGAGCTCTGCCACTTGAGTCATACCTCTACTTCCAGCTCTCTGCTGGTTAATTAGAAAATTTAAAAATCTCATTGGGGCTAGAGGCATGGCTTAGGTGGTAGAGCACCCGCCAATGAGTGAAAGCATCAAATACCGAGTTCCAGTCCCAGTCTCAGACAAAACACACACACACACACACACACACACTCAAATCTATTGAACTTTCCTGCCCAGATTGGCTTCGAATTGTGATCCTGTTATCTTAGCCTCCTGAGCAGCTAGGATTACAGATGTGAACCATCAGCGCCCAGTTTTCTGTCTACTTTTCTCTGGTCCCATGCAGAGAACAGACATTTATTCTGTAGATGATCAGGGTCTGGGTTGAGCTTTGCTTCTCTGATATCTCTAAAAATGAAGTCCAGGTCTGAACTTGAAGCCTGGAAAGTATTGCCAGTTTATTTAGAGTGGACAACGGCTGCCCTTAGATATCTAAGAATTAGACATTTGAGTGATCTTAATTCCGGTTGGGTTTTATTTCTGTTTAAAGCCATTTGTTAAGAGCCACAAACCATCTTATGCTCTCAATGTACAGAACAATATTGAACCTTTACAGGTTTATACAGTTCCATTGGTTCAGAAGGCTTAGTCCACGGAGACAAACTGGGCTCTGGGTAAGAAGACAGATCCCTTGGTTGCTGGTGGACACCCAACCCAGGAGCTGTCCTTGTCATACTCTCCCATCATTCTATAGTCTTTGAGGGAGAGTATCACTCTTGCTTGTACCAGGGACAAAAGTCAATGGAATCATCAGGTTTTACTTGGACTCTTTATCCTGATAAACTCAACAGATGGTCAGCTGACAATAATCTCTGAAAAATGGACACTAAGCTTGGCACTGGTAGCTCACAACTATAATCCTAGCTACTGAGGAAGCTGAGCTTTGAGTGTTGAAGTATAAAGCCAGCCTGGCCAGAAAAGTCCATGAGGCTCTTATCTTGAATTAACCAGCAAAGAGCCAGAAATGGAGGTGTAGCTCAAATGGAAGAGCACCAGCTATGAGCAAAACAGCCAAGGCAGACTAAAAGTCCCAGAGTTCAAATCCCAGTATGGGCACACATGCAGAAGAAAACAAATGGGGGCCATAAATATTCTGAGCAACTCAGCCAGGATGCCTGATTTAAGAAGCTATAGCTACTGGACATTGATAGCTCCCACTGTAATCCTAGCTACTCAGAAGGCCGAGATCTGAGGATCAAGGTTCAAAGCCAGCCCAAGCAGAAAAGTCTGTGAGACTCTTATCTCCAATTAGCCATTAAAACACACACACACACACACACACACACAACAACAACTCAGAAGTAGAGTTGTGGCTCCAGTAGTAGAACTGTAGCCTTGAGCAAAAAAAGTTCAGAGACAGTGCCAGGCCCTGAGTTCAAAGTCCAGGACACACACACACACACACACACACATCATTTCAGTTACCAAATGGGACACCATATTCACATGAAGGGACAAGGTTAATGACTTTGGTTCCAAAGCTCTGACTCAGCTGACTGAGCTTTTCCTCTGGAAAAGTAACAGCGTTGCTATGGTCAGCCTCTATTCAGCAAAGAATTCAAACCAACGCACCATGTTTTATCCAGATGCTGTTTCTTGTCCTGCAGTTCTCGTTTCAGGCTCTCCACTTCAACCTTCAGCTCGATGTTCTGCAAAGTACACAAGCATTGATCATTGGCTGCCAAAGGTTCTCTATCCTGACACTAGATTACTACTTGAGTCTGACTTTAGTCCAGGGTCTCAAATCTCCTCTCAGCTCTTTTTATAATGTTTGACATAATGGAAACCCAGATGGACCCGCATCTGAGTGAAGGATAGATGAACTGCACAGCTTCAAGAATTGCCCCGTGCCCCTTCCTCATTCTCCAGCTGTGTGAAGCTGGTGGCCATTCCCCGGGACAATGGGCTTGAGCCAGGCCTTCCTGCTCATAAAACATTAGAGAAAAGAATGTATATTAAGACAGTTTTCTTGCCAGGCACTGGTGGCTCACTCCTGTAATCCTAGCTACTTGGGAGGATGAGATCAGAGATCAAGGTTCAAAGCCAGCTTGGGCAGAAAAGTCCATGAGACTCTTATCTCCAATTAACCTGTAAAATACTAGAAGTGGAGCTGTGGCTCAAGGGGTAGAGCACCTTCCATAAGTGAACAAGCTAAAGAACAGTCAGTGCCCAGGCCCTGAGTTCAAGCCCCAATATTGGTAGGAAGGAAGGAAGGAGGGAGAGAGGGAGGGAGGGAGGGAGGGAAGGAAGGAAGGAAGGAAGGAAGGATAGTCTCACTGATCAATTCTGCAAGCTAAAAAAAGTTTTTTTTTTAATTTAGCAGAAAGAATCAAAACTCCTTAGAAAGAGACTCTCCCATAGTTCCTAATTATTTTTTTCCCCCAAAGTGAAAAGTAACTCTTAGTGACTGAGTTTGATTTGAATAGTTTTCTTTTTTGGAATTGTATCCCTTCTGGTTCATGACCCATTTTTGTAGAAAGACTGGATTTCCTTTCCAGTGACTTCTGGGACACCATTGGGGGTCAGGTCACAGCTGTATGCAGCGTACTGGAGTAAAGTATTTCCATAAGGAATTGGCTCTTCCTGATCAAGCAACTAAAGGCAGGTAGAAATACATGCTACGAGTTGTTAAAGCAGTTCCTCCATAGTGGAGGTTTCTTTCCATACACTAAGTTTTAGAGCAAAAACAGAACCCTCGTGAGTGTAGATATCACATTCTCTCATTAACTGTAGCGCCTGAACTAGCCACCACCAAGCAGTATGCTTCACATCAGTCAGTCAGTGAACCTAAAATCAGAGCCTTTCCTTCTTGCCCTTAACAATTCCAACCTTACTCATCTCTTACAATCACGTGAGAAACCTGCTGGTCAGAAGGCGTCAAGTGGGGGGCTGGGAAGGTGGCTCAGTTGTAGAGCGCTTGCCTTGCATGCATGAGGCCCTGGGTTCGATTCCTCAGCACCACATAAGCAAAAAAGAAAAAAAGCTGGACGTGGCACTGTGGCTCAAGTGGTAGAGTGCTAGCCTTAAGCTGAAGAGCTGAGGGACAGTGCCCAGGCCCAGAGTTCAGGCCCCACGACCGGACCCCCCCCAAAAAAAGAAGGTGTCAAATGGAAAATAATACATCTTAGACTTTAAGACAGAACAGATGTCAGGCTTGATCCACAAGTGTAACCCTTGGCTTGTCACAGATACGTGTGAGTGCATGCAGGCTCACACACACACACATACACACATGTGCTTGCATGTGCACCAATACTGGGGCTTGAACTCGGCCTCACATTCTTGCTTGGCTTCTTCACTCACAGCTGGCACTATGCCAGTTGAGCTATACTTGCACTTCTGGGGTGTTTTGTTTTTTGTTTTCTGGATTTTTTTTCTTCCTTTGCTGGTTATTTGAATATCAAAGTCTCATGGACTTCTCTGCCTTGGCTGGGTTTGAACTGAGATTCCCCCTATCTCAGCCTCCTGAGTAGGTAGGATTACAAGTGTCAGCTACCAGCACTCAGCAACTGCCTTTAAAAAAATTAAGTAGTTTTTATTGTTATTATAAAGGTGACATATAGAGGGATTACCATTTTGTAAATCAGGTACATTTCTTTTTGGACAATTTCACCCCTTCCCTCACTCTCGCTCAGCTTTTCCCTGCCATCCCCGTCCACAGGTTGTAGAGTTCATTTTCAACATCGTGTCTAGTGAGTGCCACTGCTACATTTGTTCAGCTAGCCACTGTCTTTTACTCATACTTCTCAGATTCAAATGAGACACAGAGGTAGATCCCACCTGGGACAAGGATACTTCATTGCTAGCAAAAGGACATAGAGCAGTGTTCCCAGCCTCAGTCATAGTAGACCAGGCAAGGTAAGGGCTCTCTCCTTCCAGAACCTACATCAGTACCAGTTCCCTAAAGACTGCAAGAAAGCCAAATGGAAAGCTCTGAGCTCAGACAATGCAAATATCCATATCCAAATGGCAGAATAATGTTCAGGAGACTGTTTCAAACCCAACCTATGTCAGTCCTCAGTAGGCGCTGAATGCAGTGGCAGTCCCTTCCCAGCGTGATTACCGCAACAGAAAAGCACAGATGTGGAGGCAGAACATCTAAGAACATTAGATGTTTGGGCAAATAAAATCAGAGCTGTCTCTCTATATGTGTATATGGATATGTGCATGAGACAGACACACACACAGACCAAGAGATAAGAAGACTGAGCGCCAAAGCCAGACAAACACAGAAATCACTGTGTGTGTGTGTGTGTGAGACAGAGAGAGACAGAGACAGACAGACAGACAGACACAGAGATAGAGACAGAGACAGACAAAGGCAGAGAGACCAGCAGAACAGCAGACTGAGAAAGAGCCAAAGCCAGAGTGTTCTTTGGGCAGAAGTCAGAGCAGCTGACTTGTGAGATAGTATCATTTATTTATTCGTTTGTTGGTAGATTTAGTCATTCTTTTTTTTTCCCACCAAATGATTAATGAGCACCTACTTTGTGTGCACAAGGTACTCTAATAGGTATTAGAAAAGACAGCCCCATGGTCCTGAGAGGATTTATAGCTTATGTGTCATCAATGAAGCAGTTAGAGCAGAGTGTAACAGCCACGGGAGAAGGGTCAGCTGGCTGGCTGGCACTGTGCACAGGTGGCAGACAGAAATAGCAGCCAGGACACAGATTAGTGCTGGATCGTCATGCTCCAAAGAAACACTCCAGGCTTCATGCTCTTGTTTTTCCCATCAATGTTTGCTACTCTACCACTTGAGCCACACCTCTATTTGTGTTTTGTTTGTTTGTTTACTTTAATGCTGATTGTTAGATTGTCTCTAGTGTAGTCAGGGCAGGTCTGAAATCGCATTCCTCAGATCTCGGCCTCCTGGGTAGCTAGGATTACAGAGGCGAAACACCTCTGCTTGCCTTGGACTTTGACAGTGTGGAGAGTGCTATATGCAGAGGCCCCTTGTGGCAGGCAAGGGGAAAAGGTGGGGAAGTGCTGTATCATCTGCCCAATGTTTGCCATGAATCTAAAATGGGATTTTGAAATGGTGTGCTGCCACCAGAGGGCCAGTGATCTCAGAGGTCTCAAGGTATCTGCCACTTTTCTTATACTCACTGCCAGTTCAGCTCTTCTCTATGGGTCATAAGCTGTTCTTTCTCACTGGGCACTGTTAAACCCTAACTGCTCTAAGACTGAGATCTGAGGATTTCAGTTAAAACCAAAACCAAAAACAAAACAAAAAACCTGTGAGATTCTTATCTCCACTTAACCAGCAAAAACCTAAAAGTGGAGGAGTAGCTCCAGTGGTAGAGCACCAGCCTTAAGTAAATAAAGGTCAAACAAGAGCACTCTGGTCTTGGGTTCAAGCCCCAGTGCTGGCACACGTGCTCATGCACACACAAACACATGCACCCATGCTCACACACACACAAATCTTAGTTGAGGCCCAGAAGCCTTTGTTGACCTGGCCCCACTAAGCTGGCAAGAAACACACACACACACACACACACACATACATAAATATCAGTGACTTCAGGGTCCCACTCCATCCCCAGAACATTCCTAGCAGGACTAAGCTCTCTCACTCGGCTGGAGTCTCTATTCACAAACAGGCTCCATGAGCTTAATTTAGCCAAATGCAAAGGCCCTGGCAGAAGCCAGGGGTGAGGCTGAAGCCCCTGAAACTCCAGGACACCTTATGTGGACACCCCCATCCCCAAGCCTTGCTTCAGGCAGCAAGAAGAATGCCAGAAATGGTTTATTTCTCTCAGCTATTCAAATTGGATTTCACAGGAGCCATCCTTCATGTTCTCTTGACTTGTCACACAAATGTTTGCAACAGAACTAGAACTTTATTTACTTTTGTGTGTGTTTTTTTTTGGGGGGGGGTCCGGTCATGGGGCCTGAACTCTGGGCCTGGGCGCTGTCCCTCAGCTCTTCAGCTCAAGGCTAGCACTCTACCACTTGAGCCACAGCGCCACTT